ACACCCCCTCCCTATCTCCGTCACCTCCTCCAGCCCCTCCCTATCTCCGTCACCCCCTCCAGCCTACACCCCCTCCCCATCTCTGTCACCTCCTCCAGCCCCCGACACCCCCTCCCCATCTCTGTCACCTCCTCCAGCCTACACCCCCTCCTTATCTCTGTACTTCCTACGATCCTCCAAGATCTCTGTGATTCTCCGATCCCACACTCTTGAGCATTCCCCTGTTCCCATCGCTCCGCTATTAGTGGGGGAGGGGGGTCATGTCTTCAGGAGTTGGGGGCTCTAAAATTCTGGAAACCCCTCCCTGGAAACTCCCTCTCCCTGCCTCCTTCCAGATGCACCTCAAAACTGACCCCCTCACTGTGAGCTTCTGGTCGCCTGACCCTAACTCATCTCGACGTAGCCCAGAGTCAGGTGAACTCTCCTGCGTTAGGCCTCTGGGACATGTCGCTGTGACAAATGCATTTCTTGCCGGTCTGGAGCCCGTACCTGCAGCTTTTTGGTTGCTGCTGGAGCTGTTCTTTTCCAGTTTCTGCTGGTCCTCGGTTTGGTGTCGGAACTGCAGCTCCTTTAGCACCTCCACGGTGTTGACATGGCCATGTCGGGCTAACACCTTCACCTTTATATCCTTCAGCTCCTCGTAGGAGAAGTACTCCATCAGTAAGGGCTGGAATACCTGCACCGGGGACAGGGACAGAGTGAGAGGGAGACAGGGGAACAGAGGGGGCTGAGGTTGGGGGGCGGGTGGGGGGGAGCGGGGGGGGGAGGGGGGGGGGGGGGGGGGGGAACACAGAGAGACAGAGGGAGAAACATAAAGAGGAGGAGACATGGAGGTAGAGAGGGAGGGAGGGAGAGAGGCAGAGAGGCAGAACGAGGGTTCGGTGTGGGGTCAGGAGGGGAGACGGCGCCTGTGTTCTAAGGATTAATGCGGCCCTGCCTCATTACCTCTTCCTCCTCCTTCATGTGAGGGATGAAGTCCCTGGTGAAGGCATCGAGACGCTCCCTCAGCTGCTGACTGTAGTTCAGCAGCTCGTACTCATCCTGCCAGGGGAAGGAAACAGGAGTCTAATCACTGCGGGAGGAATGGCACACACCTGCCACCCCCACCAATATCACACCGCCCCCTACCTGAGATCACAGGGACAGACACCACCCCCACACTTTTTCTGTGTCTCTCCCTGCTCTCCGTCTCCAGTGTGCTTGTTCTCTGTGTTTCTCCCACTCTCCCTCTGACTCTCTCTCTCTGTCTGACAGTCCCACTTTTTCTCTGGCTCTTACCTCCAGCTCTCTCTCCTCCCCACCACCGCCCAGCTCTCTCTCCTTCTCTCCCACCATACCCCGCTCTCCCTCCGTCTCTACACACCCCACCCCGCCCCCACCCCGCCCCCACACCACCCCCGGCCGCTCTCTCC